ATGATAAAAACCCATCCACAACATAAATAAATAACTGAAAAAATGTCTTCTCCCATTTACTCGTAAATCGAACTCCTCTCTCCTGATTGCGACGACAAACCATCAAACCACACCACTACACCACAGACACCAGCGTTCGTCTCCTGAATAATCAGAACCATGCCAACCAGTAGGGTCGTAAAACCTCGACAATAAACTTTGAGTGAATAGACCTTCTATTACTTCTAATATATAGCAAAAGGTTTTAGCGCCTATAGAGGGCCCTTGCACTGTATGCTTCCCAGGAAGTTGAGGTTGTTTCAGAATGCTCTCAGGGCTGCTGGGGTAATAGTATAGATTGAGAAACGCATAGAGTTTGCTCTTGAGCAGGAATTTGCGCTTTACAAATGCTATCTATTATTATTAAAAGACATTGCGTCAGCTACGACCCTTAACATAAAGGAACACTGTAGTACCAGAACAAAAGTTGGATACACTTTGGTCCAAGTTTTAAAATTAAATATCTGTCGGGAAGAAGGTGATGAACAGTGCTTTTGCTGTGAGCATTCTATATTAATAGGTCTCTTTCAGTTTAAAAAATGAACAATTAAATTAAACTTTCTTTAACATACCTCGCAGCGCTCCCAACCTTCACAGGTCTTCGTTTTAGCTTCAGTAAGAAAACAGTAGAAGAGACGACTTTCTAAAAACGAGAGAGAAACATTGTAATCAAAAGATCAGTGGTGAAAGTTGCTCTTCTAAAAACAACATTTAGCGCTTTTGAAAACAATAGTTAGCGCTTATGATAACAACATTTAGCTTTTATGATAACACAATATTTGGCGCTTATGATAACAACATTTGGCGCGGTTTTCTGGCAAGAATTGTTGATCTTCCCAGATGGAAACTCAAGAGATAGTCGCAGATTGCACGCACGCACCAGAGCGCCCCCTATCTGACCCAGATGTCTCGGTGATGACAACAATACGCCACATTTAGCGGCTTCCTAACAGCTGCAGACCCCGTAAGGGAGGTGGCCGGCGAAGGAAATAAATGGCCGATTATTTGCGGTATTTTCAGCCAGTTTTAGGCTGTGTGGACTGCGTCACTTCCGTTGGTTTAAGGGAAAAGTTTCACCATTGATATCGGCTGTCAGTATCAGCTTCTGATTAGACTGGGATTATGCGGAAATACTGATGAATAACTTGATAAATAGTTAAAAAGCATGGGGTTGTTGTTGTTGGGGGTTTTTGGGTTTTTTTGGGGGGGTGGGGGTTGTTTTGTTTTTTGAGACTTTTTTCTTTAATTCCCCCCCTGGTACTACATACACACTGTTTTACAAGGTTATAAAGGAGTTCCGGAAGTGCTCCTTCTTTCGTACCAAACATCTATCGTCCTTGTCCCCCATCCTTGTTTTCTTTGTTGGCTACTCTCTTGTAACACCTCTAATCTTCAGCACTAAAACATGTATGAGCTATTTATGTTGCAATAGTGCTGTAAAACTCTTTCTGTAATTTGCACTTATCTCAAATCATACAGACCCCTTTAATGTCCCCAAAAAGTCCTGTCAGAAGGTCAGAAGGTCAGAAGGTCATGGGATTAACCTAGGCGTTGTTTGAGTTTTTGACGTCTTTCCTGGAAATGTTGTTCTCCCAAGGTTTTTTTATCATGGTCTGTCTGGGGCCCAAACACCCCCTTTGTGCCAAAATAGAATCCACGTTTTGTCCGAGGTGAAATTTTGGCTCTATTTTTAGCGGCCAATGCACACACCCAGTTGCTTTCAGATAAATCTAATTAATATACTCTTAATGAGCTTTTTGTATTTTTATAATTATCTTGTCTAATATTAGTTTCCCACGTATAAGACTCCCCCCCCCTCTCTCTCTCTCTCTCTCTCTCTTTCTCGCTGATGGATAATAACTTTCCAACTCACCTAATGTGGCCCTATTAACCTTTAATGTGGCATGCTCTGATTAAAAAGTTACCATAAAAAGCACATTATAAACAAACTAAAACAAACGAAAAAGAAAGACTCCCTCGGCCCACCCGGAAAAAGAAACAAGGAAAAAAAATTAAGAATGTAGCTAACTTCTTATAACAAAAATATAGAAAAAAAAAAGAAACCACAGAAGTGTTAAAGTAAATTTCTTTTTAGGACTAAAACGTTGGACTATTCTATCGCCTTAAACCGTGTTAGACTCGCAACTTATCTCTCTCTCTCTCTCTCTCTCTCTCTCTCTCTCTCTCTCTCTCTCTCTCTCTCTCTCTCTCTCTCTCCCTTCCTCATCTTGTCTTTCTCTCTTTCTTCCGTTCCCCTTTTCTCTCTCCCTATCTCTCACTCCCCTAACCCCCACCCCATCTTACCCTTTCCCTACCTCACCCCTCTGCCCCTCCCATCAACCAATTCCCCCTTTACCTACTAATCTACGAAAGGACTTGCATAAATAAACACACGCGCTCCGAAAATAAACCTCTAATGAAAGCCGCAATTGTCAATGCTCTATTTATGAAGGAGGGTCTCCTGATAACAAATTTTACAACATGGCTTGTGTGCACAGAAGGGTCAGTGCAGAAACTGAGCTCACCAGAACCTTGCCTCTGTGCTCGTCTGTTTGTCTAAGGTGGGGGTGGGTTGTGGGAGGGGAGCAGTTTGCATCATTAAAATTTCCTCACCAGCGCTTCCTTCAGGAAAAAATGAAAGCAAAATAAACCTACCTATCTCAAAGTGTGGGAGTGCCGGAATATCGCGGTACAGAGGCTGTTGTTGGTTGTGTGCGTGTGTATCTTGTTTTTGTGTCTTTTTGTCTGCTAAAATTGGCATAAATGTTATTTATTATACATTGTTGTGGCCTGCGTTATCTTTAGAAAAATTAACCCTTGGCGTGTTGATGGATTGATCGAAATAGTTATATAATTTTATAAAATATAAATATAAATAATATGTATACATATATACATACAGTGAAAGGAAGCTCTCTTGGCCTAGGGGTTAAGGTGTTCGCCTCTCATTCAAAGGTCCCTGGGTTCGAATCCGGGTAGCCACCGCAACATTTTCTTCTCTAAAATTGTCTCTTTTCATCTCTTCTCCTGCTCTCTAGCAATATTCTTTCTGCCCTCACCCCTCCTCTCCTTTGCCCCCTCCTCTGGGCTCCTGTCTCTTTCTGTAGCCTTTCTTCTGTCACTCCTTGGCTCCTTCTTATTGCTGTCTTTCAGCCATACCCCTGATCTTCTGATAGGGAAGATCTACACCTAGTCTTCTCGGACAACGGCGAAAAATCTCTGAGGTAGCGAGTGCAAGTTGCGCACGTTAAAGATCTCTTGGAGGTCTAAAATCGACAAGAGTAGGCTTCTGCCGCCATCCGGGCTAAATTCAAAATTTCCTACCTACTGAACATGTTTGGCGTGTCCCTCGCGCTGCTCATATGACCTTATGCAGTTGCGAGCGCCGTAAAACACTTACCCCCCAAAAATACAGTGAAAAGAGAGAGAGAGAGAGATGGATTGGGGGTGGGGGGGGGGCAGAAAATGAGAGTAGGAGATAGGGCAGGGAGGACAAAGATAAACAGACGCAAACAAACACTCACATTCTCGCAACAAAATCACAACAAAACTTATCCACCCAAAAGTTACTAAATCACCAACTGTACAGCGCTTGAACTCTGATGGGTGGAGCAGCCATTGTGGGATGTCAAAAATTCTTGGCTACCACAGAATTACAAAGTTCTATTTCACATTTTTGGGTGGCAGTTTTGAATTCCTAAGACCGTGAGGTAAGCAATAGAATGCTCTCTCTCTGCTGTATCAATATCGAATGATAATTATTCTGAGTCGCTATCAGGATATTGAGAGAACTTTTTTCGAAAAAGCTGGAAAAGTTGTCAAACTCAAAATTATTTATATGAAATGTGAGGCATCATGGTGGAGTCAGGCTCTCGTCAATTTTTGGACATGGGGAGTTTTTGGTGTCATCTTAAAGCTTGTTCACTTGCTTTATTTGGATGAAAAAAATATCAGTGTATCTTAAATACAAGTCGAGATATTTGCGAAAGAAGGAGGTGGGGGTCACCTGTTTTCAGAGGTAAATTTAGTGAGAAAATGGCTGGCAAAGA